CGGCGCCGCGGACCTGGGGCCGCGCCCACTGGGAACTGGCCTGGCGCGTCGCCCCTTGTGAGGCCCCGGGACCTGCGGAGCCGCGACAGCGGGATGGGCCTAAGCCCCGCCGCCGAGAGGAGGGGCCGGCTCCGCCTCTTTAGGCTCCGCGGGAGCCACCGCAAACTCACCTCGAGAACGGCAGGTATGGGACCAAATGACAATCAGCTGCTCCTCGACATGCAGCTGTGCCCCAGTGTTGGCCCCGCCGGAATGGGAACCCACCCCACCGAGCAGCGGTTGGGGAACAACCTGGGTCGTTCTCCAGGTACCAGCCTGGGTGGTTCTCCAGATACCAACTGGCCGTCTGGCCCCCAGAAAAGTCCCCACGTTTGCTTTCAAGGCTCTTTCTTGTAGATGTTTGTTGGTTGTGCCCAATGCCTGTTAAGCGTAATGAGTGAATATTTCGGAATGATCGTTTATCGTTAATTTAATCAAAGCGAGGCAGGCATCCGGGGACCCTCTTGGGTGTTTACCTTCCCACTGTATTTCAGATGGAAGCGGGACAGAGGTGGCAGCTCGCGGCAGGTAAAGAACGGCTCTCGCTCTACAGAAGCTTCTGTCGTCAGGTTTAGTCCCAGGTTTCTGTGATCTAGGATAGAGCCAACTCCAACTTCACTCTCTCCCTGATTCTGTCCGCGGGAATTCCAAAGTCTCTCCCGGAGGAACTGAGCCCTCTTCAGCATCTATACCCACGATCCCCTTCATTCATCCAAAAATTGATTGAAGGCTGACCAGGAGCCTGGCAAGGTTCTAGACTAGAGCTCCGAGCTCACTTTTGCTGTCAAGGTGCTCGTTTGAATCCTTTGACAAGTTTCAACCCCATGGAAGGCAATTGTGATTTAAATAGCATTGTTTTTTTTGTTTTTGTTTTTTTGTTTTTCTTGAATTAGGAGAATCTGTGGGATCTCAATCGTTGGTCCAGCTATCGCCGGAGGAGCCAAAGCAGGGTCCATTAGAACAGGGCAGCATCCAGCAGGGGTAAGGTTCTTTGCATGGACGGACTAGGTCTTTGGGTGGTAGAAGCCTTTTGAAGGACTGACTTTGCCAGCTGATCTCACTAACGGAATGATGCAATCTTCTTGTAAAGTTCCTCAGTTCACGTTCATTATAAACATGGTTTGCCTCTTTTTAAAATTCTGAGGGGCTGAAAGTTTCCAGAAGAGCTATACTGAAAATGGGGGTTACCTCCCACCCCCATTCACTATCCTTTGGAGAAGAGTTAAAGCATGGGGTTAGTAACGTACCAGAAATGTACGTGTGCTTTTTCATTTCACCCTCTTGACAACTCTGTGAGACAAATATTGTCATCTCTTTTAAAGATAATCGAACCGACTTCAGATAGATTAATTTACTAACTCAAGGTTGGACTGCAAGTATCAGAGCCAGGCTTCGAACCCCGGCCTTTCTGTCTCCAGTATATTCCACTCTATTCTCTAAAAAGCATATTCTTACCTTCAGTTTCGATTCTCTCTTGCAACATTTTATTTCAAGGGGCAAAATATACTAATTTCTTTCACGTCACTTGCAGTTACGGTGTTGCGACTCAAAAAGATTTCTCAGAAATATGGAGCTAATTATTGGAAGAAGCAGCTCAAGAGTTCAAGGGGCTGGACTCTGGCAGTGGGACCGGGAGCGAGAAGGGAGGGAGCAGAGGCCTGTTGCATCTCATTACAAGAGCCATTATGTACTGTTACCATTTTTATAAAGCTATGTGCAAGTGTCACTTTGATAAACACTTAAAAGAGTGTATGAGCAAACAAAAAAATTCTAAAAACTACTCATTGGTGCCATTAGCATTTTAAAACAATTGTCTGAAAAATCAGCAAACGATAGTTACTTTGTGTGACTGGTGGTACAGAAGCAAACTTCAGGGGAGAGTTATTTCCAAGAATCTCAAAACTGAAAGATATCTTCAAATCACAAATATGAAGTAATATAGAATTTCCGATAATTGTGAAGCAATGTTACTTATTCACTATATGATCACAAAATTCATTTAGGGAGAAGCCGGTCATCAACTCGGAGACCATACTCAACGAGAAGAGAGCAAAGTCAGATTCAGCCCTGAAGTCCAGGAGTGCAGGCAAGTTAACCAAGCAAACAGCTGAGGTGAGTATCACAAGAATCCTTAATACATATCTCTAACATCCCAGTGACTTCTCTACATGCCGTATTTTAGTTTATTTAGGCTGTGTGGCAGGTCAAACTGCACACTGATTTGGGATGTTGGTGATATCTTTTTCATTTTTTAAAAAGGGCTTTATTGAGCTGTTTATTGAGCTTTGTTGCTAACCGACACTCTGACAAATGACAAACAGTAAACTGCACATATTTAGAATATACGGTTGAATATATCTTAACTTATGTATATACCCGTGAAACCATCAGCACAACCAAGATAATGACTGTCTCCAACTCTCTCCAACCTTTCTTTCTTCCCCTTTGTAAGCTCCTCCCACACTCCTCACCCTACCCCCATCTGCGGGCAACAACTGGTCTGCTTTCTGTCACTTATAGATTAGTTTACATTTTTAGAGATTTATATGAATGGAATCATATGTGCTCTTTTTGTGTGTCTCCTTTCACATAATTTCACATAATTATTTTGAGTTATATCCATGTAGTTGCAAGTTATCAGTAGTTCATTCCTTTTTATTACCGAGGAGTATTCCATTGTACGGATATATCCATTATTTATCCATATCCACTATTTATCCATTCACCTCTTGATGGGTGGTTTCCAGCATTTGGCTGTTACAAATAAAGCTGCTAGGAACATTTGTGTACGAGTCTTTGTATAGATATATGTTTTCTCTTGGATGAATACTGAGGAATACAATGTGTAGATCACGTGGTAGAAGTACGTGTCACTTACTTTTTCCCGAAGTGGTTGTGCCGTTTCACATTCCCACCAGCGTTGCGTGAGAGTTCCAGTTCCTCCACATCCCTGTCAGCATTTGATATGGCCAGTCTCTTTAATGTTAGCTATCGTAACCGATGTGTAGGTATCATGAGTAGCAATGTTCAACATCTTTCCATATGTGTGTTTTTCTGTTTTGTTTTGTTTTGTTTTGTTTTGATCAAATATCAGCATTTGATATGGCCAGTCTCTTTAATGTTAGCTATCGTAACCGATGTGTAGGTATCATGAGTAACAATGTTCAACATCTTTCCATATGTGTGTTTTTTGTTTTGTTTTGTTTTGTTTTGTTTTGCCATCCATATATATCTTCTTTGGGAAGTGTCCAAAATTTGCCCTTTTTTTTTTTTCCCTCTTGGTTTGTGTGTTTGTGTGTTTGAGAGTTCTTTAGAAATTCTCCGTACCGGTACTTCATCAGATAAACGCTTTGCACTGTTTTCTCTCAGTCTGTGTTTTGTGTTTTTATTCTCTTAACCATATCTTTTGAAAAAAAGTTTGAATTTTGATTTAATTTATCAAAATTATGCCTTTATTGTTCTAAAAAAATCTTTGCCTAACCCAAGAACACAAAGATTTTTCTCCTATTTTCTTGATATTTTATAGTTTTAGTTCTTACGCTTATGTCTTTGATACATTTCGAGTTAATTTTTGTGTATGGTGTGAGATATGGATCAAAGTTTATTTTTTTTCCTTAGGAACATCCAGTTGTTTCAGCATCATTTGTAAAAAGATTCTCCTTTCCCCACTGAGTTGTCTTGTCATCTTTGTAAAACATCGGTTATCCATGTACCTGTGGGTCTCTTCTTTGTTCTGTTGATTCTTTGTCTATTGTGAGGCCACTACCATACTATCTTGATTACTGTGGCTTTATAATAATTCTCGAAGTCAAGTAATGTTAGCCCTCCAACTTTATTCTTTTTCAAAGTTAATTTTGGCTATCCCGGATTCTACAAAAGGCTTGTTGGGATTTTAATTGGAATTATATCACATGTTTAAGAGAATTAGCATCTAAACAATATTGACTCTCCTGAACCATAAACAAGGCATTCTGTTTATTTAGATCTTTAATTTCTCTCAACAATGTTTTATATATTTCAGTGTACAGGTCTTGCACATCTTTTGAAAGATTTGCAGATCTTTGGTCAATATTGCATAATTTTGATACAGTTGAAAGAGTTTTTCAAAAACTTACAACTTCAATTTTGAAAATTTGAAATTAAAAGTATTCAATTTCTGATTGTTTGTTGCTAGTAATTGACAATACAATTGATTTTTTATATTTATCTGTTGGAGAAAGTCTACTATTACAATTACTGCCGGGTTCACTGTGATATTGCATTATTCTCAATTATATAAGGTGAGACTCTTGATCTCTGTAGCAACTTGATCTCTGTAGCAAAAGATTAACCCTGACAGACATTTTTATTTCGCATAATATGATAGAGAAGGTCTTAGCTGGACTGTTTAGGAATATAGTGGTGTCGATGATTCCAGCATTATTACCAGGCTAATGAATTATCAAGCCCAACCACCAATAAGGATCTCAGTTTCTTCTTAATGGGTATTTCCACAGGATACTATGATTTCTAGAATATTTCAAGACCATTTTGCTCAAAAGATATTCTAAAGCACTGATTTATATTAATAGAGAACAGAACAAGTCATTAACATGACTATTCATGAAACCTCCACATTGCACAGTATAACAGGGTTGATTCTTGTAAATGTTTTCAATTTAATACTTTATGAGATCAGCTTCTTTAGCACATTTTATGATGCACAAAGTTACCGCTGCCTCTGTAGCTGCAGGGTGGCCATCAACTTTCAACCCCTTAGGAGGACTCCTTTAAAACAGACATTTATACAGACTTGCATTTTTCAGATTAAGCTCTGGGATCTCATTCGATAACATCATAAGCAAAAGCAGACCTGTAGGATGACTCATCATTACTGGCAAAATGTAGTGAAGCAATGTCTAGGATTTTACTTGATAACGGCAAAATAAGGAGTATATAGCATTGCTTCTCTACGGATTTTTTGTTCAGAGATCTGGAAGGATGTTTTTGCCCCCGGGGTCCTCACAGGCTACTGGGGGAAATAGGAAGAAAAGAGCTTACATTACAATGCGATAAGCTGCAGCATCACCAGCTTCCTGTGTGAAATTTTGTATAACATTAATACATGGTTTCGTTCACTTTCCTCTCTTTTAGGATTTTGGGCAAAAACCTGCCATGATGTGTCACTTCAAACTGTTCTGTTTTTACCTTAACCTGATTGAGATCTGCGCATGTATCTTTGATGGGTGTTTACTTTCACCTTCTCAAATGTCGCCTGTTCTCCCATGCCGTTTTGAGGCCCCAGATGCATCCCTTCAATCATTTAACTCCTATTTCTGCCGCTTTCACCAAGCCATGTATATATCCTTTAAAATACATAGAATACACAGAATTACTCACTGCTCTGTGTAACGGGGGTGAATCAATGCCAAATAGGACAGATGAGATCAATGCACCATGACATCCCAGCACGTGAGGAATGCCAGCCAGCTCTTTTCCTTAGAGGAGGCCTTAGAGATCGCTGACTATGGACATAGATCCACCCACCCCTCCCCAGCTACCTGCTCTCCTTTTTTTTCTACTCTCTCTATCCATAGATCATCTTCAAATTCATCTCGTATCACTCCCCTCCCCTCCTCACTCTGTACCATCTGTCCCAGCTTCCTTCCTGAACCTCTGATGGACCCAAGTCTTTTCTTCCTCAGGGCCTTTGCACTTACTAAATTGCACTTAACTGCTCGTCCCTGGTTTTTCGAAACTAGGCCATACGTGCTGTTATGGACCCCAACCCAACCCAACTCATGTTGAAAATCTAATCCCAGTACGGCTGTCTCTTTGGAGTAAGAAGTGATGAAGGTTAAAAAGATGGGGCCCTGATCCGTTAGGATTAGATGAGTGCCCTTATAAGGAGAGATACCAGAGAGCTTACTGTCTCTTTCTCTCCCCCCACACAACGAAACAGTCACATGAGTTTACAGTAAGATGGCAAATGCCTACAAGCCAAGAGAAGAGGCCTCAGAATGAAGCCTACCCTGCTAGCACATTGACCTTGGGCTTCCAGCCTCCAAAACTGTGAGATAATAAATTTCTGTTGTTTGAGGCACCCAGTCTGTGGTATTTTGAATGACAGCCCGAGCGGACTGATATATGTCTTTTCTTGGGAAAGGCCTTTCCTGGCCTCTCTATCTGAAAGCCAACTGCTGAGTTCTCAGTGTGCTCTTGAACTTGGTCTCTTCCACTTTGCCAGGCCCCCCTTGCTGCTGATTACTCTTTTTTTCTCTGCCATCTTCAATGTCTCCCTGTCTGCTGGAGCCTCACCACCAGAAGTCACACGTGCTATTGTCTTTCCCATCTTGAAAATGCCCCCCGCTTCATCCCTTGTTTCTCTTCATTTCCCATCGACCCCTTTCCACATTTATTCATTTCCCGTTCCTCCCATTCACAACCCTTATCTTGAAAGACTCGCCTGCCCTCCTGTCTCTCATTTCCTACTTCCTCCTTCCTGTCTAACTCATGCCAGAAAGGCCTCCAGCTCCACCATGATCTACCTTTCCATATAAATTTTAGGATCACTCTGTCGATTTATTTTTGAAAATGCCTACTGGTATTTTAAGGGGGATCGTGTTTAATTTACAGATCCATTTGGTGAATCGCCACCTTAATATTATAATTTTCCAGTCCACGAACATGAAACGCCTTTTCATTTATTTAAATCTCCTTTAATTTCCCTTGGCCAAAATAATATTGAAAAAGAACAACATTGTTTAGGGAAAATGTGGCGTACCCATAAAGCGAAGTACCGATGCATGCTACAACACGGATGAGTCCCAAAAACATTATGCTACGTGAAGGGAACCAGACGCAAGAGACCACGTATATGATCCCATTTATATGAAATGTCCAGAAAAGGCAAATCTGTAGAGACAGAAAGTAGATTAGGGGTTGCCTGGGGCTGTGGGGAGAGGGTAGGGGAAGAAAGGTGAGTGATGCTGTGGGTACAAGGTTGCTCGGGGCTGAGGGCAGGAAGCGGGACTGACTGCAGATGGGCATGAGGAATCTTTCTGGGATAATAGACACGTTCTAAAATTGGATCGTGGTGATGGTTGCACAAACTCTGTGAATTTACTAAATGTATCGAATTGTGTACCTAAAATGCGTGAGTTTTATGGGATGTCAATCATACCTCAGGAACGTGTTAAAAGAAACAGGCGGAAAACTCCTTTACTTCTGTGAGTTCTTGCCCTGGCGGATGGTGGTCCATCCGTTAGAGAACCAGAGCTGGGAACAGGGAGGAGAGAGAGGCACAACCTTAAGGAAACCAGACTAACTGAGCAAATTGCTGCAAACTTGGGAGTTTGGTCGAGTTGATGGGTGGGTGGGGTGGTTCTTATCTCCCACCTGGCTCTGACGGCCAGCAGGCCTTCTCCAGGAGGAATCAGAGAGCAGGGCGTCTCCCCAGCACCACTCGGGGACAAACTCGGGAGTAGTTTGGGAGGGATGAGGAGTCTGCGAATCAGAGCTTAGATTGAATATTTATGGCACTGAGCACATTACTGGACTTGGAAGGATGTGGAATATGAGCTTTTTTTTAAGTGTGGGTTTGCAGTAGCTAAGCTCTGGGTTTTCTTCCTTTCCTTCCTCCCTTCCTCCCTCCCTCCCTCCTTCCCTCCCTCCCTCCTTTCCTCCTTCCCTCCTTCCCTCCTTCCCTCCTTAAACATTCACAGAGCACCTTCCTTCCTTCCTTCCTTCCTTCCTTCCTTCCTTCCTTCCTTCCTTCTTTCTTTCTTTCTTTCCTTTCTTCTTTCTTTCCTTCCTTTTTAAATTGTAGAGAGAGCACTTAACATAAGATCTACCTACAACTCTTAACGAGCTCTTAAGCGCTCAGTACTGTATTGTGCTCACACACAGTGTCTATCAGATGATCAGCCTCTCTCTGCCAGGCCTCTTTGAAAAGGCAGAGTATGGGCAGTCACGGGCCAGTCAGGAGACAGAAGCCACACAGTGGGTTAAACAAAGGAAGTTTAAGTTAAGGTACGAGGAGACTCATATGGTCTCCCAGGGCCGAGGAAGGGTCCTCATGGAAGGAGAGATGTGGAAAGGGTTCAGACCTTGTTGGGGAGGTATGGATAGCAGGGAGGTTTGTCTGGCCAGGCCGGAGCTGGTCTGCAGTTGCTAGGCCAGGGTGACCCTCTGGACTGCAGGGCTGAGTTGGCTATCAGCAGCTGGTGGTGTGGGCATGCAGTGGGGTGGGGGGGAGCTCAGGGCCACAGGCGGGCCATGCAGGGGACTGCGGAAGGAATCCAGAGGCCAGCAGGGGCAGGAGGCTTTGGGGCACTGATTTCTCTGCCAAGAGGGCCCCAGAAAGGTTACCACCAGGCCAAGGCTGCAAAGTTATGGGGTCTGAGGGTTCTGGGCGCAGGCAGAGCTCCACCAGATGACATGCCCAGCAGCCCGGCAGCGCAGGAGAGCCCCTTCCTCTCGCAGTGTCCCTGTAGCGCCCTCTATTGAGAAAGCCTAACACCACGCTCAGTTTCAAGGGGAAACGCTTCAAGGAGTTCGGTCACCCAGCACAGAGCGTTTGCGAAGGGTGCGTCCGGAGCTGAGCGGCATTGCATTGCTAACTGGCACAGTTAGTCTCGCTGGCTTTAATAATGAGAGCGATAGCAGGACAGGGGCGGGGGTGGGGGTCCTTTGTTCCTGTGTGTGCAGAGAGCTTCTCCAGCCTGGGTTTCTGTGAAGGGAGCCATGTCTTCAGGCTGAGCGGTAGCTTGTCCCCAAACAGGGTCTCTGGAGCTCCTGGGACGTGTGCGGTTTATTTTATTATATTTCTTCCATCACAGGGAGAACCGCGACCCAGGCCCGGAGACCTGATTGAGATTTTTCGCATTGGCTATGAGCACTGGGCCATCTATGTGGAAGACGATTGTGTGGTCCACCTGGCTCCCCCAAGTAAGAGGGGACACGTTCCCAAAATATTGATATTTAAATTTAGCAAAGTAAGAGAAGTGCACTTAATTATCGTGTTCCTCAACTGCTGCCTTACTTCAGCGATAAAACACCCCGAGCATTCCTGGACCTTAATTTACTATGCGGTAGAGCTTGGTCTCTGTCTACTGAACACCACTGCGTGTCCCCAGGTGCCCCGACTGCCCGGACCATCCTTTTTTTTTTTTGTTTTTTTTAAACTGCAAGAACGTGAGCCTCCATCTGTGTTGACACCAGCTCCACATCCTTCCTCACATTCTCTAGGGTTCCCTGGAAGGGACGCGCTCTGATTGTCACTTGTTTCCTATTGTCCCCAAATGCTGCTTCTGGCTTCCTCATTGCCTTCGGCACCCGCACCCTCACCTTGTCGCCCGGCTCCGCCACCCTCCGCGCGGACGCTGTTCTGCTTTCATTACTCAGGCAGCATTAACACAAGGCTGAGGCTAAACTGGTGCCTAATTCGATTGGCTGGAGGTTTGGTGACGAGGAGGAGGAGGACGAGATCATAGAAGATGGGAGCACCAGGATGGGAAGCAACTCAAAGCTGGACCACTGGTCACAGTGGCCACCTCGGGAGGCGGGACTTGGGGGGGCATGGGAGAAAAGGAGGGCAGGGGCCCCACGGCACATTCTTTGATTCCTGTGTGTTTTGCGTCCTGCGCACGTTCTGCCCATTCAAGATTAAATGGCGGAAGGGCACTGGTGGTGGCCACGCCTTGTTCGCCGTGCTCACCCCCGGGTGCCGTCCGCTTCCGCTGGCCCAGCCTCTCACCTTGCTGGCACCTTCTTGGGAGCCCACGCGATGAACACAGAAGTGGCTTCACATCACATCCGCCCCTCTCCTTCCCAGGAGACTCCCTCTCGTGTCACCAAAGAGCTCATTAATAGTTACGTCCCCCACCTTCCCCAGCAGATCTTTCTCTAAAAATGACTTCTGCCATCTCTGTTTCGAAAGCTGAAATCTTTTTGAAATCGGCAGATTTTTCTCTTAATATGTAGGAAAAGAACAAGGGACATTTCCTGCTCTCAAACAGCTTACAAAGGGGGAGGGTACACACGTCGGCAAAGAAACAGTCCTGGTTGCAAGTTGCTGCCCCCCTAGCCGCGGGTGGGTTCCTGACCCCCTCGGAGCCTCTGTCTCCTCTGAGGACTGAGTATGACAATACAGCAGCTTTCAGACGTTTCTTCTCTCAAAGCTGCGGAGCCTTGTTTTCAAACAGACCCTTCATGAGGATGCCAATATTTGAGTAGATAAAAAGGGCAGAGTGGCCCTGCGTGGAAGCTGGTTGGAATGGGCCCCCGCCAGAGCCCGCTCTGCTTGGTCTCGCCTGTGCCCCTGCGGTGGCCTGTCACGGAGCCACGTGACAGCCCCTACACGTAGGGGTGCCTGGCACGCGTTTGTGAAGATTCCTGAAGACTGGTTAGGGAAGCGAGACCCAGATCCAAGAGTTTTATAAGAAAGAGGTGGCTGTGGGGGTCAGAAGCAGGGCAAGGCAGAGGCTTCTCGGGAAAGCCGTTCATCCAGCTCCCCGTCCTCTGCCGTGCCTTCTACAGATGGTGCAACTGAGGCCCCCAAGGGCCGGCAGCTTGCCCAGCGTCTTAGAGTGAGCCACCGCTCTGCCCCCGCGTCCCTTGCTTTCCAACTTTTGTCTGCCTCTGGCTTGTAGGTGACGATTTCGAGGCCGGCAGCATCACCTCGATCTTCAGCAACCGGGCCGTGGTGAAGTACAGCCGCCTGGAGGACGTGCTGCACGGTTGCTCCTGGAAGGTTAACAACAAGCTGGATGGGACGTACCTGCCGCTGCCCGTGGACACGATCATCCAGCGTACAAGAAAGATGATCAACAAGATAGTCCAGTACAGCCTGATCGAAGGGAACTGTGAGCACTTCGTCAACGACCTCAGATACGGCGTGCCCCGCAGCCAGCAGGTAGGGCGCCCGCTGAGCTGTCTTGGGGTTCACCTCGTCAGTGATCAGCAAGATGATCAGTGGTTTCACGTTATCTGTTGCGCTGATGGGCCTTCTGTTTCTACAGGACTTTACGATTCATTTTTGTTCTTATTAACCCATGGAGGAGTCGAAAAGGCACTGGGCCACACAGTAAGACCACCTGTGGAGTCTGGCGTGGCCATGGACTAGCCTGGTCTCCTTGGTCCAGTCATTTTACTTCTGAGACCATTTGTTCCTTTATAAAATAGGGATAAATGGAAGTAGATACTTTATTGCTAAAGTTACAAGCTAGCAGCCCACAGACATGTTTTGCTTGGATGACTACGATTTTTTTTTTAATGACTTGCCGACATTTAAAAAATATAGCAATTTTATATAAACAGATCTGGACTGCCAGCCTCTCCTGAACAGGCTGTTGGGCCCATGTTCCTGCCTGCCGGCACCCCGCGGGGCCGGGCCGTGGCTCGCCCGTTCGGTGGGTGTGGGAGAGCTGTGCCACCTGCCAGCTTCGTTCACACGACCTGCCTGGCCCACGCTGCATTGGGGTTTGCGGCCCCTGCTGTAATACAGGGCGGCGATAAAGTAAATGTGATACAGAACGTGGGAAAGGGCTTGGAAAGCCTCAGTCCCTGTGACAGGGTGAGCTGCTCTCCTTAGTTCCCCATCCTTCCTCAGACCGCATGAAGCGGCAGAGGAGTATTTGTTATGTCCTTTGAAAGAGATAAAAATGCTTCACGAATTAAAGGTGGAAGGTGATTTTCTGTGTTTTTTTTTTTCTATGTTTCTTATTTCTCTTAATAAATACACTGGGCTCTAATTCCAGCACCACCCCCTCGCTATCGCTGTCACGTCTCTTGGTGACCGATGCAGGCCTCCTGTGCTCTTCCGGCCGCCCCCCCCCACTCGCTTTCACTCTCAGCACCTCCCCCTTCGCGCTCTGGCCCTCTCCTACATTCCCATCTCGTGGGACGCTCCAGTGCCACGGCTTGATAGGCTCTGGCATGAGGGATCTCGGTCCCATGAGCATTTGTACCGAGAAGAACCCCCCAGAGTCACGGGATTGTAGGAGGCCCTTCCTCCTCAGGAGCCTGGGCCCAGCCATCACGGGACCCAAGCCCAGGTCTCAGCTCGGACACTGATTCACTGTGTGACATTGTCCAAGTGAGCGCCCCTCCCCGGCTTTCAGATTCCCGGTATGTAGAATGAGGGCCTCACGGGCTGTGCCATTCTGAGACCTACACGGGAGGCAGACCCTGGGCAGAACGGCTCTGAGGGAGGAAGGGACCCGGAGCCCTGCGCCCTCCAGGGGAAAGGAAGCGCGTCTGCCTCAGATGTCTATCCCAGGCCGTCCTGGCTTCTCTGAGCCTCTCGCGGCATTAGGATCTTTGGAAACGTAGGCCAGTTCCTGAAGGAGGGTGGCGAGGTGGGGGAAGGGCAGGATGGTCTCTGAGTGTCCTGTGAACCGATCCGCTTTGCAGGTCGAGCACGCCCTGGTGGAAGGGGCCAAGGCTGCAGGAGCCGTTATTTCCGCTGTGGTGGGAAGCATAAGGCCCAAACCAGCACCTACCCGAAGATGCTGCGAACAGCAAGCGGAGAAGAGCTGCTGACGTCAGCATGGAGAACGGTCCTCCTTTGCTCCCCTTTGCCGTCCTCTCTCAGCGGCCCCATGTAAGAAAATTGCGAGCTTCTGGAAGGATCTAGAATGTATCCAGTTACCCCTCTGGAAATACATCCGATGTGTGTGATCATAGACCCGCTGACTCTCGGGGTGGGAAGAACCTCATATTTATCACGTAGCTATTGGGCACCGGGCAGTGAGCCAGGCGTTTCATATGCTGATTTCGCCTCCCGCTCTGTGGGCTCTGTGGGAAGGGGCCTTACTCGTTTCTTCGGCTGAGCCTAGCCTGGGATGCTTAAATACCATCTGAAGCCTCCGCTGGAACGTTTCCTGTAATGAAGAACTCTTTTCAGAAGTTTCTTTTATTGAACTCAAATGTCTCTAGCTTTTCTGTGTCACCCCAGTCCTACCCTCGGAGGCCCACAGTGCGGGGGAGGGGAGGGGGTCTCTAAGAAAACCTTCAGCTCGCTGCGGTTGGGGTGGGGGGACCACTCTGCCTTCGGCTACGAACACCTTTCCTAAGAAGTAGTTTCTCGTTTCTTGTTTCTTTTATTTTTTCTTCCTTTCATAAGGAAGTATTTCCTTTTTAAAAATTATACATCAGCTTTATTCTTTATTGTTTAAAAAGCCCTAATTTAAAGTGTACTCAATAAGACCACGTATCTTGCTTTTCTACCTTATAAGTACCAGAACACTTGAAATTTCTATTTTCACTGATTTCAGATGAATAGTTAGAATAATGCAATCAGCAGACTTCTACTGTATGAACGAGGGAGGGGAAGGGGGGATTTTTGTGTTTGGGAAGAATATCGACACGATGGAAGATCTGAAATTACGACTGGGGATTGGCATTGCCAGTCGAGAGCTGAAACCACCCAAGAAAGCTAGGGAAGGGCTCTCGAAATGCCTAGGAAATGTGAAGAGTGTGGAAGAGAGCAGGACGGAACCCCCAAAGTGTCCCCCTCGAGATCTGCGAGGATCTCCCATGAGCCTTCTTCCTATTTGGAGAAAATCGAGCTGCCACGAAACTTCATTTTTTTCTCTTTCTTTTCTTAGCAATCCACTCTGGCTTCTTTAAGATCCCAGACACCAGTGTCTGGGTATGTGTCTTCGATTGTCTCCCATCTGCCCTTCCCTAGCTCAGCGGCCTCTCTCTTTGCTTTGCATGGCATTTCCCATGCTGGTAGGTAGAGCACGCCCTCATTTCTATGAATCGCAATGAGGAAGAAGCCACTGCCCCTGGTTCCCACAGCCAACTCCTCTCCACCTGCCGAAAATCAGCTGAGTTTCCAGAACCTCTCCCTTCAGTCTCCTTTCTCATAAGGTCTGGGGTGAGACTTCCTTTCAAGCAGAACCCCACTACCCAAAATTTATATTTTAGAAAGTATATTAGCTTTGAACTAGCTCAGTTATGTATTACTGAACCTTTTGATCTGAAGATGACCTTGAACTCACAGGCTATACTAATTACGAATCAAACAAACTGGACGATACTCGATTAACAAACAAGCAACTCCCCCACGCCGGGGAGGGCTTAGTGACCTCCAAACAAAGCACTCATCCATCGCTCGCTTATGTGTGACAGGTGTGACAGGATAGGACAGAAGGGTACTTCAGGAGCATCTCAGGGCCGATGGTCACTCATTCATCCAACAAATATTTTTGAGTGTCGGCCACATCCTGGCTCCCCCGCCTTTGCCTGAACCCACAAGCGGTGGGCAGACACGGCGGTGAGAAGTTCTGAGTCGATTGCGAGGACACAAGGCACAGTGGAACACGGGGCGGAGACCACCTGTTGGACGGTTCTCTTCCCACTTCCGAGCTGTCCATCAAGGTGCAAGCTCTGGAATGCACGCCCCACCCTCTGCAAATGCAGGAGGGAAGGTTTCGTAAAGCGTCATTAAAAACCTGTAGCGCTTTCTGCATTCTAGGGTCAAAACTGAAATCCCCGCTTTGACTGGGACCACTTGGGTGAACCTTTTTTGATCTTGTCGGTATAAGACGCGTACCCACCGCTGAGGGGAGGATCCTAAGGGAAAGTAATCCGAACGCAGATGCTTCTGAGACGTCAAAAACTGGTCTCTTGTTTGCGTGCTTAATTTTTAGTGTCTATTCCTTTTTACTTTGGGGGGCTGGGTGAGTGGGGGCAGTGGTGGTATCAGTTTACTTGGCATATGTCGCAGAGGAGGTCAGAGAACTTGAACGTACTGTGTTCCTGGATGGTGGGGAGGCCCGGTATTGGTGACACGTGAGCCAGCAGGGGCTGCACACGATGCAGGTGTTTTGCTTCATGATGGCGAGGTGACTTCAGGAAACACCGCACAACCTCTGCAGAGATGGTGATGCTGAAGGGATCTGGATTCGCTGGCTAAGAACGAGCAATGGGGAGTGGAAAATATGTCTGTCGTGGATGCCGACCAAATAGAGGAGGGTGAGCCCCATCATGGGGGCAGCAGGCCAGAGGCTCAGGGCTGGACTGGACAGAGGGGGGCCCCTTGTGACACCAGTAGATATGAACTACTCCCCAGTTCCTATTTTTAGGTGTTTGCCTTCTGCTTATAACCTTTTGTCATTCCCAAGCCTCGTATTGAAAAGTGGAGTAAAAGACAGAGCCAGTGTGCATGGTTTGTAACACCCACGGGGGATGAGGCTCAGGGACCATGGGGAGGTGGCCGTGGGAAGCAAGCATGCAAAAGGGAGCGTGGTTCAAAAGGTAAAATTTTAGAGGGAAGAGTGACTCCCGAATCTGCAGCACTCAGGCTTATGTGACACCTTGTCAAGTGTAACATCAGGGCAGCGGGCGTTAGATTCGCTGCCTTCTGATGAGCATAGGCCAGGGGTCCCCAAGCCCCAGGCCGCAGACTGGTACCAATCTGTGGCCTGTTAGGAATCAGGCCACACAGCAAGAGGTGAGCAGCATGCAAGCGATCGAAGCTTCATCTGTATTTGCAGCCGCTCCTCAGCGCCAGCATCACCGCTTCAGCTCCGCCTCAGATCATCAGGCGTTACATTCTCATAGGAGCACCGGTCCCTGGTGCCAAAAAGGTTAGGGACCACTGGCGTAGACCATTTTGACCTCCACACTGTCCCTACTGAAATTTCTTCTATTGCTTGAGCAGAATAATCAATGCCTATGCAAACTCTAAGAAGGCTCTTTGAGCTGCTTAAAGTTCTATTCTTCCAAAGCTTCTGCAGCTGGGCAGACTCTTTCACAAGAAGAGAACTAGTTATGGACCCAGGCTGCTTTGTGGTCCAGAGGAAGTAGTTTGATTTCTGTGTGTGTGTTTGTTTGTTTGTTCTATGCTTGAGTACGGTGAGCATATTTTTTAAAAAACGTATTTTTGGTCAATCAGATTCAGTTTGCTAGGTTAAATGTAAACATTTTTATGCTTATTTTCAGAAAGATTGCCAAAAGTTCGACTTCAAAGATAAAGTGTGTCTGAGTTCAGAGCAATGTGAAGGGTGCTTTGTAAACGAGCAATTTTGGGTACTTCCAGTTCCACGTTCAAAGAAAGGCTTTTTGAGGAAGCCATGTGAGGCCACAGCTTCCTTGTCTTTCCATCTTGTTGAAAGATGGCTCCCCCCACCTTTGCCCAAATCCACGAGCAGTGATCAGGGTACGGCGAGAAGTTCTAGGTCAGAAAGACAGGGGACCCGTGGCTTCACTGGACTTTCCTGAGCAGTGGCTGCCACACTTAACATCAGCAGCAGAAGCCTCTCTTCAGGCATAATGTCATCGAGCCACCCGATGTCACGCCGGCAGCCGGAGGGGCGTCTGCCAGAGTGGGAGCCGTGACGGACACTCCCTGCCCACAGCCGATGGGAATAAAATAACAATGATGACACGATAGTGACATGCATGGAGTGTCACACAGTTCCGGACCTCGCTTTAAATGCTTTAGGACCCTCACTCACCCTGTGATTTCATGTGTTTGTCGTCTCCATGACAGACTCTGTGGCCCCGTAAACAGCTGCCCCACTCAGCCAGCTTTATCCAGTGCTGTAAGTGGGAAAAAGTTTAGAACTCCTTGACAAGTCTCCACTTGACAAAATAAGGTCAAGAGCTGCTTTATAATGAACTCAGAGATAAATAGGGGAAGAGGGTACTTAAGGCACAAAGATGCCTAATGATAAGGACAATTTGGGCCGGGCAATGGGAACACGGAGCTCTAATAACTGCTTATATAGGTCATTGACGATGCTGCCTTTTGGGGGCTCATACTCGGGACTACTCTGCAAGGCTGGCTCAGAAAGGGGGTCTCACTAAGCCTTGTCCATCAAGAACACACACACCCCCAGACTCAAAACACAAGGACCCTGGCGGATAGATGATATTAAGAAAAGTGTGGAAAGAAGCGTGTATGACATGATCACCCTGTCATTCGCCAAATACGGAGAAGTCACCTGGTAGAGATTTCTTAAAGCCTCATCTCTCTAGATAGTCCCAGAGCCGCAGGTAGATTTCTCTTAGTCAGGACTCTCTTGGTGGCAAAGGCTGGAAAACTCAACAAAACTAACTCAGTCATGTATAGCTTGAGCAAAGTGAGAAAGGTACTGGTTTAAGTGACCGTTCAATCCTGGAGCAGAAGAAAGTACAGTTGGATTTAGGGCTTCCTGACATCGGCTTCAAAATAACGTGCTGTGCCAGCGTTCCAGAACCACGTGATTACGGCGGAGAAGGAAGTAAGGGAGCCGGGTGGACAGAAACAGCAAAAGACCATCACGAAGCTTGTGATCTTGGATCCTTGCTCTTTTCCTTCCGACGAGCCCCAGAATGTGCACAAAAACTGACCCTTCTGCCCAGACCCATGGCTGGAAGAGCCTCCTTAGATAAGCCTTCCATGCAGTGAGTTGTGAGACGCCGCGGCAGCACTCGATAGCAGATTTCCCCCCTTAGGTTATTCCATAGGAAATACGTGTTTTGGGGTTCACAGCTTTTGTGGTGTCAGTTTTGAATTCCGCATTATAGAGAATCTACTGTGACAGCTC